GGAGATCTTGGTGCTCAAATTCCGCTTGAACAGGTCCCATCAGAACAGCAAAGGATTGTTCAGCTATGCAGGCAGCTTAATAAGCCTGTTATAGTAGCCTCCCAGCTGCTTGAATCTATGATTGAATACCCTATTCCAACTAGAGCCGAAGTGGCTGATATTTCCGAAGCAGTTAGGCAAAGGGGGGATGCTTTGATGCTCTCTGGTGAGTCAGCCATGGGCCAGTATCCTGAGAAGGCATTGAGTGTTCTAAAAAGTGCTAGTTTAAGAATTGAAAGAAGCTGGAGAGAACAAAAACACCATGAAGTTATTGAACTACCATCCATAGCGTCTTCTTTTACTGGCAGTATCTCAGAGGAGATTTGCAACTCTGCTGCCCAGATGGGTAAGATTCTTTTCTATTGGATAAATTTATTTTTGAATAGATTTTTCTTTACAAAAATTGATTCTGACTTTGTATTGCAATATTGAAAAAAATGACAAAAATAAATAAATAATGAGCAGACCAGCCCACTTTGAAAGGGCTCTTTTCTATAGAGAGAGAGTAAGGGGGGTTTTCTGGGGCTTTGAAGTAGGGCCACTTTATATAGAATTTTATTTCCTCATTATTTTTCTAGCTTGAAGAAGCAACGGTGGTTTGTTGCTAATGTTGACGTAAAGACTATATTTGATTCATGAAATTTGAAATAATTACTCTAGAGGGAACGGGCTTAAACCCAATTAGCATTTTTGCAGTGTCTGTTAAATTTTGCAAAGACCAAAAGTTTGCCTTCAATGGATGGATATGTTTATTGGATGGGCACTTTGGTTTTATAACGCCCTCAGGGCAGAAAGAAGCAGTTGTCATTTTAGAATGTAGGTTCTTCTCTGAGACTGGGAGCTAAAATAGTTTCAGCCGGAATTATTCAAGTACTACTGTGCAAAGGCAGTAACAATTTGTTACACTGTAAATCCAAGTATTGGTTCAACGAGCCATTCCTTGAAGAAAGCATATCCTAATGTTACCTGTTAATACATTTTCTAATCTTTTTTCTGTATGGTTGAGTACTAATATCTGTTTGTGATTCTGCAGCTAACAATTTGGAAGTTGATGCTCTTTTTGTTTACACCAAGNAAGTTGATGCTCTTTTTGTTTACACCAAAAACGGACACATGGCTTCTCTCTTGTCACGATGTCGTCCTGACTGCCCAATTTTTGCATTTACAACCACAACATCTGTACGTAGACGCCTGAACCTGCAATGGGGTCTGACACCTTTCCGCTTGAGTTTCTCCAACGATATGGAAAGCAACCTCAACAAAACATTCTCCTTGTTAAAAGCTCGGGGCATGGTCAGATCAGGTGACCTTATCATTGCTGTTTCTGATATGCTGCAGTCCGTTCAAGTTATGAATGTTCCATGACCACATGCTTTTTTCATAAGTTCTGAGCTGGGAAACCTTGATAATCTATTCCCCAATCATATTAATATATGGTCATCAGTTTTTTTCTTTGCTAGAGAGTTAAATATCACATTTTTCTTAATTATATCCAATTCTTGGGAGCTGGATTACTGACTTTTGGTGTAACTCAACTGTATTACTAAACTTTGCCTTCCGTTGGAAGTTGGCAACAAAAATGTTAGCGCTATTACTCTTTTGTCTCATACTTGCCTTTTTACTAACGGCCCTTTACTTGGACTATTTACTACATGTTGGTGTCATTCTTAAATCATTTTGATATTACTATAAAAAATATTGAAACAAACATGAAAGTATGGTTGACATAAGTGGAATAGACTCCTAGAATACCTTATTGCACTTGACAAGACATGATTTAATAAGGCAAAAAGAAACACATAAAAGAGAATATTGATAGTTTTTTGAAGATATTCACGACATTAAGATATTTTTATGCAGTGATCAAGATTAACATTCAACGTGATATGTAGCTTTGATCTGATGAGCGAGAGCCCTTCCATAGGGACTCTTGGATCATGACCGACTTTTGTCTCTATTCGACCAATTGATTTCAAGCCAAGTTGGCTTATACCATTACGCTGGCGAGCATAATCTTAGCTTGGACTACTACTCTTTTTGTCGGGAGGAAGAAATAATGAAGAGTTCAAATATTATCTTAAATAGTGGCACTATTCACTGTTTAGAGGTATCGATAAATTTAAAATGAAAATCAAAATGATAAATGTTGATCTCGTTCACTACCTTCGACGCATTAATAACACTGGTGGAGATCAATCTATTTACCAAAATTATTAGTTTGTGGTATTAAACTTTGTGCTAAAACCTGCATAAGTTATGGAAATACATGTATTATTTACAGAAACTGAATGTGGAATAAAAACACTTATATTTAAACATACATAAGAGTCTCTGAAAACAAAGTTGCCCCGCAAGTAGGCAATCTCTGCCATAGGCGGATTCAGGATTTAAAGTTTATGGGTTCCTGTAGCGACCTTAAATAAATATACAATAAGTAAATAGGTTCACAATCAAATATTTATGAATATTTAGTGGATTTTGTAATATATATACAGGATATATCCAAAAGCTACTGGTATTGTTGTACAGAGATCAGGGGCGGATCCAGCCTATTACATGTGATTTTCCGGGAACCCACATATAATAGGCTGGATCCGCCCCAGATCTCTGTACAACAATACTTGACTACTTGTATTATTACTCATCATAAAAAGTATTCATATTATTCATTGCATAATAATTCTTACATTATAATCACTACATGTCTACATTAATCGTGAACCAAATGGCCCCTCAGTACTAGTGTAGTTCCAATTTATTTAACATTGTCTTTTTGTTAGTCTAAAAAATATTGACACATTTTTATATTTAAAAAATTAGTTAGGAGTAATTTTTACTTTCATATTTTACAATTGCATGACTTGTTATTGGCGCACTACCAAATAAATTGCTTGTCACAAGGATCGGAAAGAGATATTAATAATTTTATCGTCGCTAAAAAATATTACTATAGTCTATTTCAATTTATATGACATAGTTTGATTCTTATGGAGTTGTAATAAGCCCGCGGTCCTTTATATCCTCGTTTTACATCCACATAGAATTGACACTAGGTAGCTTCTTTGAGCACTCCTATTTAAAAACATTCAGTTTTTAAAAACTATTTAAAGTTTAGCCAGTTTTGACAAATTTCAGAATGTTCATACTTGTTGCGACCACTAGATAGCTTGTTTACTCCTATTTAAATATGCCTAGTTTTTAAAAACTATTTTGTATTCGGTCGAAATAGATTTCGACCTTCGTATGATTGATCGAGTTCGAAACATAATCGATCGAAGTAAGACTTCGAGATGGGTTCCGAAGATGGTACAAACAAGCTTCGAGTCCGAGGGGGCGATCAATGTCGAGCTCGATATTATAATCAAGCTCGAACCCAAATCGAACTATGATGCAAAGTAAAGTTGTCGAGCTTATGATCCAGGGACCGACCAACATCGACCCCGAATCAATTCAAGGGTACGAGTCAGAATCGAGCTCAAGTCAAGATCGAGAGCTCGAGTCAAGACCGAAAACTCGAGTCAATATCGGGCTTATAGACAAGAGTCGTTGCAATCCCATTAGAGGAGAGAATCTTGACAGGAATTGTGAAAAAGCTGATTTATCATGGGTCACCCACTACGTATTTTAAATTATATCTAAAGTAAGATCCCTCTACTATAAAGGGGATGGTTATCATTTCTGTAGAGGGCAAGTTTTTGCTAACATTATAATTCAAGCACCATATTCTCCTATAGTGAAGAGTTGTTCTTTCAAGTTTCTTAATTTGATTCCACTTGTGTAGTCCTAAAATTCATCTTCTTTACAACATTGTCTATTTTGCAGTCTTTGCAATCTATACTTGATATTTCTATTTATCCTTACGATTTGTATTAAGCTACACCACATATCCTTAGAACTACATACAAATTTAACTCTATCCGTTTTTCGAGTAAATAGTTTAGCGCCCACCGTGGAGCTAAGGATAACAGTGGTTATTTGATACGAATTTGCAAAAACACACCGTTGTGTTTTACGCTTGTTTCCGAAAATATCTTGGATTTTGGATTAGCAACGACTAACTACCAGTCAAATGGCCACACCAATCGACAACGAAGCTGGTCTTCAAGATGAGAACAATAACTTGATACCCAGTACCGAAAGATCACTTGTCAATGCCGTTGGAGCTCGAATCGGAGCGCCGATAGATATCAATTCGCATGTGGCCATTGAGGCGAACCTACATTCTGAACCCGAAAATAGCATTCATGGTGGCACTCGGTCTGCAGCTCGAGATACCCAAAACGTCGAGGAAAACGGCGTCAACTTGCGTATGATTTTCGAAATGTTGCAAGCTCAACAGGCAGCAATAGCTCAGTTACAGAGCCAAACCCAGCTACAAAGCAGGCCGGAGCCCAATCCACCTCGAGAAATCACCCACAGAACGGAGCCAGCCATAGTGAAATCAAATGAGCAAGAATCGAGGACTACTCCCGAATTGCTAAATTGCTCGAGGAACTCACAAAATGAGTCGAAGCCAACGATAAAAAAGTAGAAATATATAACTCCAGGGTCGATCAGATCCCGGGAGCTCCACCAATGATAAAAGGGTTGGATTCAAAAAAAATCATGCAAAAACACTTCCCCTCGAGCACAGCCCCAAAACCAATCCCCAAAAAATTTCGTATGCCCGAAATTTCCAAATATAATGGAACGACCGATCCCAACGAGCACGTCACTTCTTACACATGTGCCATCAAGGACAATGATTTAGAAAACGATGAAATCGAATCTGTATTGTTAAAAAAATTCGGAGAGATCCTCTCGAATGGAGCAATGATTTGGTATCACAACCTACCACCAAATTCCATCGACTCGTTCGCCATGTTAGTAGATTCTTTTGTGAAAGCACATGCCGGCGCCATAAAAGTCGCAACAAGGAAATCGGACCTCTTCAAGGTAAGACAAAAGGATAACGAGATGCTGAGGGAGTTCGTATCTCGTTTTCAAAATGGAACGAATGGATCCGCCACCAGTCACAGATGATTGGGCTGTTCAGGCTTTCACTCAAGGTTTGAATGAACGAAGTTCGACGGTCATGGCGGTTAAAGCATAACCTGATCGAATACCCAGCCATCATGTGGGCCGACATGCACAATCGGTATCAATCAAAAATTAGGGTCGAAGATGATCAATTGGGGCCTGAACCCGCTGTTCGAAGGGATATTAATCTAGAACAAGGTCCGATCGGGGATCGATACTGACCATACAACGAAAATCGCAGAGTCAGTGAATTGAGACATAAACCCGAGCAAAATAACAAAATAAGTAATCGAGGTCAAGGGTCCTGGGGGCTGATAAACAGAAGTAGGTTTGATAGGCTAGTCGGATCTAAGGAAGCGCCTCGGTTATCGAAATATAACTTCAGCATTGATGCATCCGCCATCGTATCGGCTATCGGATGCATCAAAGACACTAAATGGCCTCGACCCATGCAGATTGATCCTGCCTAGAGGAATCCCAATCAAATGTGTGAATATCATGGCACCCATGGCCACAGAACGGAAGATTGCAGGCAACTAAGAGAGGAAGTAGCCCGGTTATTCAACAAAGAGCACCTTCGAGAATTTGTAAGCGATAGGGCGAAGAACCATTTTAAAAACATGGATTTCAGCAAGAAAAACAAACAAGAAGAACCACAACACGTCATTCACATGATCATCGGCGGCGCCGATACCCCTCAGGGGCTGGTGCTTAAACGCACTAAGACATCGATTGTGAGAGAAAAGCGATCTCGAACTCAGGATTACACACCCATAGGAACTTTGTCCTTCAATGATGAAGATGCAGAAGGAGTCATACAACCTCATAACGATGCACTGGTAATACCTGTACTCATGAATAAAACTAAAGTTAAGCGTGCGTTGATCGATCCAGGTAGCTCGGCCAACATCATCAAATTAAAGATCGTAGAACAGCTCGGCCGGCAGGACCAGATCGTACCCGCAACCCTGGTTCTAAATGGATTCAATATGGCATGTGAAACCACCAAAGGCGAGATAATTCTACCGATAAACATGCCCGAAACCATCCAGAAAATGAAGTTCCACGTGATCGAATGCGACATGAAATACAACGCCCTTTTCGGAAGGCCATGGATCCACAACATGAGAGTTGTACCTTCAATCCTACACCAGGTCCTTAAATTCCCAACATCGAGAAGAGCCATAACAGTGTACGGAGAACAACCAGCCGCAAGAGAAATGTTCGCCGTCGAGGAAGCGAAACCAATATCCTCGCCTTCGCTAGTAAAGGGATCGGGCTCAGAAGGGGAATGAGATACCAAATAGCAATCACAGACATCAGCTTTGACCCAACCAGATAACCAGAAGATCGAAGAGTATGATGATTAGAGGATCCCTCGATCCTTCGTGATTCTGATGATTCTGACGCTACCAAATCAACGATTGAGGAACTGGAGCAAGTCACACTAATCGAGCACTGGCCTGAACGGAAGGTATACCTGGGAACGGGGTTGAGCCCCGAACTCAGGAAGAAACTTATTCAATTTCTTATCGATAACATTGATTGCTTTGCCTGGTTCCATTTAGATATAACAGGGATCCCATCG